CAATGAAGTCTTGGGATGGCAGTTTGTCATCAGTAATGTGTTTAATATGTTTGCAAAAAGAAATAAAATTAGGAGTGTTAAATTTTTACCTTCTAAACTGTTTTAGAACTACAACTCTAATTAAACACTGTGAAGGTTCTGGGTTTGATTTGCCAGAAACACTACAGTGGATTTTTTTTAAAATATATTTTCCATAATACTATATATTGTCATATATATATATATATATATATATATATATATATATATATATATATATATATATATATATATGTGTGTGTGTGTGTGTGTGTGTGTGTGTGTATTTTATTTTTTATAATCACTTTTATTATTTCTGTTATAGCCATAAATGCTCTAGAATATTATCTAGTATAAGATATTACTGTCTATCCCTAGTATTTACCCACAATATATAGATAAGAACAATTTAATAGTAAGCTATAATTGCAACTTGTTGCAATTTGTAGTATTTTTCTGGTCAATCAATGCGCTCCAACAAAAGTTAAACTGAAATCAGTTACCTGATAAACTGAAGAAGCACAGGTGAGCAGCATGCCAGCAAGGTAAGCTGCAAGCTTCAGAAAGAGTCTAGGCACAACTTGCCTTAAAGGAATCATACCTGCTATTTTGTGAGAAGAGTGGTAGGGGGGAGGGGGCACGTTGGCTGTTATGACCCCTCCCACAGAAACAAGGCCTGCGTTGTTGTACGCACCTAAGTAGCAGTTGCAGATATTAAAGTTGTCTGCATTACAAGTGTGACACAAACTTACAGAATAAGCTTCCAAATGGACCAGAATCAATACAAGAGTAACAGTCAGAAAACACACCCTGTGTCTGCATTCTGTTTTTAAATTACGGGTAGGCTGCATGATGTTCAAAGAAATTCTAAAGTAGGTTACACTGAAGAGACGTGTGCTTTGCTTTGTTGTTTCTTACTTGGTGCGATGGTGGCATGAGGCCGGCAGGGTGGGATAGGGTAAGGAACAGGTCGATGAGGGTTGTAAGTTGAGGGAAACTAAAAACAAAAAACAAAATGTTTAAACTTATAAAAGCCTATAATACAAACCAAAACTTGTACTGTGTGATGTACTTTATTGAGATTCTGGTTTGAAATTGTGGCAACCTTCAGAAGTCACCAAACTGATAAATACTGTAGCGTATTAGGTGTTGTAAAACTGTTTATTTTAATGTTTTTTGGGTTTTTTTTATATCTTTGTTCAATACAAATGCCCACATCTTTTCGATTTGTAAAAAAAAAAATTTAAAAACCCAAAGTCTAAAAACCCAGTGTCCTATCACTACTACTTCACAGACATACTGTTATTACACAATTATTCACAATCTTGTGTTGATATGCGTCTTAAAATTCCCAATAAAATACATAGAATTTTGTGAATGCAATGTGAGATTGAAAGTTGTGATGCACTGAAAATAGAGGTCAGGTGACCTTTTTTTTTTAAATAATATAAAAAAAAAACTAAACAAAATTGGAAAAAAAAAATAGCACAAATTTCTTTCTGCATATCATCACAGGTCCATATCAGTTCCCACAAATCTTACATCATACAGACGTCCAGTCAAAACAATAAAAAGAAGGTGTGTCTTTTCAGGTTTCTCATCAATCGTTAGCTCAGTCAACATAGTTTTGGAACATGGAAACTTGTTGCGCAATCAGATTTCAACGCAATAGAAAATGTGTCGTATTCTGACACATATACATCTCATTATCAGTTCTGGACTTACAGGTTTAAAAGGTCCTATAATCCTGGAAGCAATTCCTTTCCCCTCCATACTGCTGGAGCCGTCTTCTTTTTTCTCACTGTCTTTTTTAATTGGAAGGATTCCCTGAGGTTAGAAGCAAAATATGTCATTTCAAAACAATCATCCTTAAGAAAAACATAAACATTCAACCTCAGACAAACAAGTTTGCCTCTTCTTTTTAATGTATAATTCATCCAATCAAAAAAATGTAATAAGCAAGCATATTTCATATCAATTGCATTTTATAACAATCTCCATATGTGGGGAAAAATAAAACAAGACTATACTGTGCATTGAAGAGATTATAGCAGAACTGCTGTCACTTAAGTTTAATATAAATACAGGCATTTCATATAAATTATATTCAAGTAAGTTAGTTATTAAATATTGTTTATGCTCACAGGAAAAGTGCCAGTGACCAAGCTGGGCCTGCCTTTAGGGTATGGATTTCCCGGAATCATTCCACAGGATGAGATCATGGCTACAGGAGCTTTGCAACCAACCTTACAAACCTAACAAGTCAAAGACATGCATTTTTGATTAATTTTTTTATTTTATATTTTTAAAATGAACTCATTTAGCTCTAAAAGCAGCTAGCACTTTTTTTCTTAAAAGAAATCATTCTTGATAAAGTATAAACTGCTTTGTTTTATTTAGTTTTTTCTTTGTCCTCACCTGCTCTAATATCCTGCGAGCGCGCTTCTTCTCAGATGCGTGTATCCGGAACAGATCCTCCACCGGTCGATAATTCTGAGCATCCGAAATATTCCTGTACGGAAACAGACATGCCTACTGAATAAACCATCAATCAACTGAAAAATCACACCGTTTACAAACAACATTTGACCACATTAAATGGCATTTTAAACTGTACTCACAAAGCTATTAGTTCCAGGACAACAAGTCTGTCTTTGGAGAAGGTGAAGCAGTTCAGAATGTTTGCAACTTTGGTTGTAGGGATTGCAACCATTTTCTAAAGACAACAGAAAGAGGAACAGATACAATATTAGGCCTCCATTTTGTAAAGAGTTTTTAAGACATGCCTTGCTACCCTAGTGATGAGAGATTGCTATAGGAGAGGGAGCACTGTGACCATGCGGGATGTCAGGCTGATCAGTGAAAATATGAGCGGCACAGCCTGAGTTAGTCAAAAGTGCTCCTACTTACATGCTGCAGTGCTTTAACTGCTTTGATCTGCGGTTCTGCCCATGAGAAGTACTTCAGGATTTCCATCACCTGCACACATTAAGTACCAAATTAGAACTAATTAAGTTAAAAAGAGCTCTCTGGAACAACAAAACACAAACAATATAATACTTTCTGCAAAGTATTCAGATCACAGGAACTTTAGCACATTTTGTTACAACTACAATCTAAATGGATTCTGTTACACAAAAGGAAATTGTGAAATGGTTTTCAAACTTTTTAACAAATAAACGTCTGCAATGACTGTAGTGTTACAAATTTATCCCTCCTTGGATCAATGGGTCAATCCTTTTTAGAACTATCATTAATTATTATCACAGCTGCACATCGTTGGGGCATATCTGTACCAACTTTACACATCAACTGAACTTTTTGCCCAATCTTTGCAAAAATAGCTCTTGCTTAGTCAGACTGGATGCAACAATGTACAAGTATTGCCACAGATTCTCAGTTGGATTCACATCTCTGTCACTCTAACATATACATGTACTATAATTTATCATCTGCCAGGGTCTCTAACAGGCCTTCTTCTACCATTGTCATTATTTAGCCACATCTACATTCCCAATTTCTCTGACTAGATTCCTTATCCCTGCAGAGGAAAAGCAACATCTTGATTACACTACCACTACAATGTTTTACGATAGGGAGGGTGTGTTAAGGGTGACATGAGGTCATTAAGTTTTTCTGGTTTTATCTGACTAGAGCATATTCTTCCACATGTTTACTCTCTCCTACACTGCATGTGTCAAAGTTGAAACTGGAGGTCGACAGTCCATTGTTTTTCTCCTCTTCCATAATGGAGATTAACTGTGCTGGGGCCCGTGAGCTTAGGTAAATGGCCACATCTTGGTAAGTTTGCAATCATGCAATATTGTTTCTGTGTTCAGAAACAATATGGAAAAGCAAAATGTGGAAAAACTCCAGGGCTATGAATACTTCTCACAGGCAGTGTAGTCATATTGTTACATTTGTCACTGAAATAAGAAATTTGATTTACAATTTTATCCATACTTTAAAGCGATTCATGTGTGAATTACAACCCATAAGATATGTAGCAATCGTGGCATATTCTTAAAGATGAAGGAGACTGGGCAGTACCCTACCTGCTCACTGGAGAAATATCCGTGAACCTGCTCTATGGCTCTGATCCGCTGATCCGTAAGGACACACTGAAAGAAAGTACACCGTCAACAATATTGTAGACGAAGTAATAACACTTACAAATCAGACACACGTCCAATACCTTTCTTATCTCATCCAAGACGATGTCAAATGATTTCTTATCCATGGTTGATTATTTGTTATTGATTACAATACAACTATAAATATTAATGTAGTATTTAAGATACAACAAGTGAGGTCAGATAAAATAAAAGGCATTCGGATACGATTAGGTTAAATCTATTTTCTGTTCCTCGACTTGTAACGTAAACTCATTTTTTACTAAAACCAAGATTTAAGACATTATACGAGTGCAGTGAAATATTTAATAATTGCATGGTTAAAATACTCCTTAAGTAACTTAGCTCTTGGACAGTAAACAATGACTTCCAAATAGGAGATATGTCTGCAGAGCAGAACCAAATGTGGCTGTAGCTAACAACAAGCTAGCGTGCTACAGTTATTCAAATCGAGACGACGACGTGACAAAAACATACAATAAAAAATACACAAACAAATATGCGACAGGTCGCACGGTCAAGTATGATTCAAACAGGCTCGTCATAAAATTACAACCGTTGCAAGCACATTTATAAAAATCGTTAAAATGTGAATGAAGAGTGCAAGAAACGCCACAAGTTCAGCTAGCTGGCGCTGCTGACAGCTGGCGCTAGGACGTCAACAACGAAAGGACACCCGTGAGGTACCTGATCGCAAACATTTGGTTTAGATTTTATTTTAACAGTAGCTAACAAATAATAAAGGAAGAAACACCCCATATTACAATATATACATGTTTAACATGAATTCTGCAACATTTATATTTACAGTTAATGCTATGTTAGTGATTCTATGCAGGCAACTTTTAAACAGCTTACAGGAAGTAAATACAGAACGGGTGTTTGCAACGGAACAATATATTGTTTTTGGTCTTTTCCTTCTTAGAAGAGAAAAAAATGGACCGGTTTTCGTGGTCAAATGGGCTCTTAGAAATAAACGAAACTTTAGTGATACAGCAGAGAGGTGTCAGACTGTATGATGGTGATGATAAGGTAAAGTTTTATTATTTATTAGCAGTTTTTTATTGCTATCAAAACAGAAGCGAAAAATTAAGTAAGAAATTCGGTAATTAGATTATAGTGAGTCATATGAATATGTTGAATGAATATGTTCATTGAAAAATGCAATACTTGCATTTTTCAATGCAAGTATTGAAAAAAACGTCTTTAAAACTATACTCAAAACATGTTAAAATTATTGCCATAATGAAAAATTACTTCCTGTGTTACTACCAGGCAAAATTGGATGTTGGAGTCGCCTTGTTGAGTACACATCGGTTGATCTGGAGGGACGGAAAGAATCACGTAAGGAAATTTTAATAAAGCAAATGTTATTCATTCTCATGTTAAATTGATCTTTGACTCAAAGATGAGCCATAAAATAAGAGTTTACACATGCAGCATTGTTTGCGGATATGAGATGTGTAGTTATAGTGTTATTACTTATGATAGACACATTTTATTATAAACAGCAACTTATGATTGTTGCCATGTAACTTACAACATGAAACCAAAACTTTGGTCAGCATTCACCCTAAATAATTTATTCATATTGCTAGTTTTTGATCTTGCTTTAACATTTATGGTGATTACAGTTAAAAGTACTTTTCTATGATCTGTCTAATTATGACTTGTGAATTCCTTTCCATTTGACAGGACTGCTGCATGGCCATGCCCCTGTCTCAGATTATTTTCTTTGAAGAGCAGGCTGCAGGAATAGGAAAGAGGTACACAGAACTTGGATAGTTAGCTAGTTTCAATTACCTTGCTGTAACAACCATTCCCATTGTCAAAAGTGTAGTTGTACAGTACGGTATAATAATGCATTTGGCCTTATTCCTAACCCTATTTTAATGACTGAGAGACTCTTCAGGATTGGTGGGGGCAATATCATTATGAAAAAAAAAAGCAAAAAAAACAAAAAAAAGATTAATGATAGTGATACAAAGATGATCACTAATCATAAGTAATAATTCCTGTTTTAGTAGTGTCACGCAACTTAAATCTTTTTTTTTTTTTTTAAAAGCTATGATTAACTGTTTTATTTTTGCCTTAAAGTGCAAAAATAGTAATCCACCTGCATCCATCACCTGCCAACAAGGAGCCTGGTCCATACCAGAACAGCAAGTACTCTTTCATCAAGCTGTCTTTTAAAGAACATGGGCAGATTGAGGTATTCCCACATGCACACAGTTTTCAGAGCTCTTTCTTTTTTTAATCTTTGCACTCTCTTATTGATTTTCTATTTATGATTACCTGGCTGGAACTGATGCCGTACCATTCAATTGCAGTTTTACAGGAGACTGACAGAAGAGATTACCCAGAAAAGGTGGGAGAATACGCCAGTTTCACAACCCATCTCAACAGGAACTGGGCCTCAGGTTAGAATCTGAACAACATCCTTGTCAATTTATCTTAATCACAACCCTGTTCCAGACTGCAAGATAAGAGGTAGAGGATCATCCTGCTTCAAAATTAGGACTTTAAAGATTCAATCAGATATTTGTGACCACTTTAATTGTTATCCACTGGGTGGCAGTCTTTTTTACCTTTTTTACATTTTTTCTGTTAGTTGAGCTAATTAAACATAGTTTTTAAAAAAAAAACATAGTTAGATTAGTCATTATCCAGTAAAGTTAAATACTGGATATTTAACTTTAATATCCAGAATTTCTCTGCTGTTATGTTTCTTTGTTCTTGGATTATAGTTATCAGCTGTTGAATTTACTGTTTAACTGCGTGCGTTTTTCTTTCCCTTTGTGGTCATGTAGACAGGAAGGACACGCGCAGTGGGAATTGTTGGCATTGAAAGGAAGATAGAGGAGAAGAGGAAAGAAACGGACAAGAACATTTCTGAGGTAATCTCTGGAAACAAAAACGAAAAAAAAAAAAGCAAAGGAATGACCGTATTGAGATCCTGTATTTTCAGCTGATTCGTGGAAATATCTCAGAAGGAAGAAATGAAATCCAGATATCAGATAAAATATAAAAGCTACTAAAGGCAATGATATGGAGGAATAGCAATTTAAAAGCTAACATGAAAGTTGCATTTTTAACTGTCTTGTAGTCATGGATAGAGTGTTCTGTAAAATATTTATGTTTTACTATTAAATCTTCTGAACATCTGAAGCTTCAATAACTTTTCATATTTGTGTTTAGGCCTTTGAGGACCTCAGTAAGCTTATGGTGAAGGTAAAGGAAGCTTTTATTGTGTTTTCCTGCAAATATATAATGGAAATTATCTGCAAGTACATTGCAAAAGTAATCATACCCCTTCAATTTCACAACTGTCAATGTATTTTATTTGAATTTTATTGGACAAAAACAACTGTGACAATTTTTTCAAATGAAAATGTTCCATGCATTTGATTTCAACCATCCTGAGTAAATAGTTTGTAGAACCATTTTTTGAGGCAATGGCAGGAGCAAGTCTGTTTTGGGTATGTCTTTATCAGTTTTGCACATTTAGAGATTGAGTGATTATTTTTAGGGGACTTTTTATTTCTGTAAAATAGTTGGGCTATTTAGCTAAATTTACCATACTATTACCATATTTCACCATGTGAATGATGTGTTCAGAGTTACATATATTGTCAGTTTTTCCCAGGATGTAATCTTGCCTTAAGACAGTGGTTCCCAAACTTTTTCTTCTGCGCCTCCCCAGTGGTTTCCAAACATTTTCTGCGCCCCCCCTATGGATTACAAATGGCTGTCTTGGGGGGGCGGGGGGGGTATCGACTTTTTTGGGGGCAAAATGAATGTACGTAGCTGAAAATAGACACCAACATCGGTAGCCCTCAAGGTACTTGTTAAGCTTAAGGTTCTGTATTGATATTAGCTAGTCATCTTTAACTAACATTACCTGCATCCAACAGCTTTACTCAACTCAGTCGGTTAGTTTGGAGGGAAAAACTGTGAAAAGTTCTTTGCGTTTTGCTGGTTTGCTGCCATGATTCTAACACAAACCTACATAGCTCCGCACAGCAGCAGCAGGTCTCCTTCACAGGTGGAAACCCAGTGCTAGCGTCATAGCGCTCATGTTGCGTTTAAAGGCGGCTCGGAAAAACAGGTTACGACATGTTAACGACGGATTAAACAGTTTTAACTGCTGATAAAAGTGACAGAGGACATAGATATGGGAAGTGTGGCAGCCTCTACTGCATCAAATTGACAGGAATAACAGAGAGTTGGCCATTCTAAGGTAAAAACCCAGCGCATACAGTGTTCATGTTTTGTTTTTCCCGCGCCCCCCTGCAATGACACGGCGCCCCCCCTAGGGGGCGCGCCCCACAGTTTGGGAACCTCTGCCTTAAGATATTATCTGACCACAGTACCTTCTTCCACATGTTTGTTATGTTCCCTATGTAGCTTGTAGCAAACTGGAAAAGGGGCTTCATAAGACTCCTTTCCAAAGCCTTCTTTTTTAGCTCCACAACCCTGACATGTCCAGCATATTATACTAATTAGATCACCTCTGAAAGCAGTTGTTGCTAAGGGGTATTAGATTATAGGGGGCTAAATGCATGTGTATGCATATTAGCATTTATCATTTTTCTTTCTCTATACAGGTAAACACTCCTTTCTGTTGGTTGCAATCCTGTTATGTCCCAATAAAATAAATTTTTGGTTAGATGACACATTTTGAAGAGGTTAAAGGGGTAGGAATACTTTTGATGTGCATATGTTCAGTCACAAGTGAAAAGACCACATATTCTTGATCAGTATCAACCTCCAGTGTGATATTCTAAATGACCCTCTAACTGGCAGGCCAAAGAGATGGTGGAGTTATCCAGATCTATTGCAAGCAAGATCAAAGACAAACAGGGAGACATTACAGAAGATGAGGTAAGAATACCAGCAACAACATGAGATATAGTGATACTTTTAAAAATTAAAGTTTTTCCCTTCGTTCTTCAAATTTACTAAAGTATGAATCGGATACCATATTGCTTGGTATTAACTCATTGATGCTCAAAGATTAGCAACATTTTTTGAATCTACAGTTATGTTTCTTTCCATAGACAATTCGCTTTAAGTCTTACCTCTTGAGCATGGGCATTGCTAACCCTGTTACCAGGGAAACACACGGATCTGGTACTCATTATCATATGCAGCTGGCTAAGCAACTGGGAGATATGCTGCAGGCTCCTCTGGAGGTAGGTGTCTCAGCTGTTTGCTATCTACACAAGAATAAAACAAATTCAGGTTTTATTCTTGCAACTCTTGCATAAATTTCATGCTCTCTCTATGCTGCCATCTCAGGAGCGTGGCGGTATGATGGCTCTCACAGAGGTGTATTGTCTCGTCAACCGTGCCAGGGGGATGGAGGTGATGCTCACACGTTGATCGTGTCAGCTGATGTTTCATGTGACATAAGTTGGTAATTTGTACAGTTACACCCCAGACAAACATCTATGCTTATGGGGTTTTTTTCTTTCCTTTTTCCCCCAGCTTTTATCTCCTGAAGATTTGCTAAACGCCTGCAAAATGTTTGAGTCCTTGAAACTACCCTTGAGGTGAGTTTGACTTGTTTGTATTGCATTGTTTAAATTATCTGTGTGCGTTACATTCCTTTAGATGCTGAGAAGGTTAAGTGTTTAGCATAGACGAAGCTGACCAGGCTCTTCCTGCCTGGCTTCCTGTTGTGAGAACGTCTGTCCAGGCTTCCGCAGCTGTCATTTCCTGTTACTTCCTGTGTGTATGGTTTGTTTTGTTTTTTTTGTCCTTTCTTTTTTTCTTTTTTTTTTGTTTGAAATAACAAAAGCTAAGTTTTCCCATATTGGTTTTGGTTAACTGGTCCTTGTGAACCTAAGCTTTGTATTTCAATAAAGTAATTGTGGACCTTTTTAAAAAATGTTGTGCTGCAACAACAAACCTCTATGCATATTACTGGGATTTTATTTGGTGAAGTTAAGGAAGATAAAACATGGGTGTCAAAATTGTTATCTTCTTAAGTTGGAGTGTGGAATCCATATGTTTAAAGCCCCTTTTAATCTGATGTCCTGAAATAAAACCAGAGGATATCTGTGTCTCATTAACTTCTTTTTGTTGGTCTTGTTTCAGTTATTGCCATGTTTTATACCTTTAGGTCAGATGCCTAAATTCTGTGTATCAGTCCTGATCAATCACTTCTTTTCAACTAGTTATAAGATGATTCACGTTTTCCCACATCCTGTTGCACTGATTTAATAAACTGTGCCTTTCTTGCATATTTTATGTGTATATATTTTTTTATATATTGTTGTCTGTGTTTGTTTTAGTTTTACTCTCAATCCCTGACCGATTTCCTTGCTTCACTTTTTGTTTTGTTTTGTTTTGCTTTGGTGTCTTGTCTTGTGTGTAGGCTGCGTGTGTTTGACAGCGGTGTGATGGTGGTCCAGCTGCAGTCTCACAGTGAAGAGGAGATGATAGCCTCAGCTTTGGACAATGTGAGTTTCATCCTTCACAAACATCATACCCTAGCTTGTTCCACTATCTCCTAAATATTTGAGGCATTTACCCTTATTATTTGTCTTTATGATTTGTGATTTAATTGCAGGTGACAGAAAAAGGTTCCCTGACAGCAGAGGAGTTTGCAAAGCTCTTGGGTCTTTCTGTTCTTCTGTCTAAGGAGCGGTAAGCTAACATAAAATAGTCATCATCTGTGTCTTATGTTTGACAGTTGATAGTCTTTTTTTTTGCTCAATTTTGCACATTTGCTCTTCTTTATATGTGTTCTGTTTGCTTTTATTCTCAGGTTGCTGCTTGCTGAGAAGATGGGCCACCTATGTAGGGATGACTCTGTTGAGGGTTTAAGATTTTACCCAAACAGTTTTTGATCTGTTTAAATAAATGCTAAGAATATAGGATGAACATAAAAACTATACATGATGAACTCTGTCTGGTGATGACACTTCCTCTTCGTTGTGGGTCCTCTTCGTTGCTGTTCTGTTCTTTTTTTGTCTTTTAGAATACCTATTCTGTGAGGCAAAGTTATTGTCTTAATTATCGTTTTTCTAAATTACCTCTAAATAGGAATAAGGAAACGATTCTACATTATTTTACAGAATGCAGTTAATGCTTTCTGTTTATTTGATGTATTGTTTTCCACTTTCTTGTCTTTGTAATTTACCTGCAGGCTTATTTGAAGCTAGCACACTGTTATGAAACTCTTGCAGCCTCTAGTATCTGGATCCATTGTCCCAAAGTAAGCCACACATTTTTTATAATAAATGGTTGGAAACTTTTGCTGTTGTCCTGTTTGTTGTGCAATTCTCATGCATGTCTGGATGCGTAGCATTTCAGCGAACCATGTTACTTGACTTCGTCTTTGATATTTTGTCTTTCGGCCTTGTCTATCAGAAAAAGTCAGTTCTGCTCCATCATTTTCATTACAGGCCAAAATTTAATAAAGCCGCTACAAAATTTCCTTCCAATTTGGCTCATTTCCTAGAAAACGGGTCAATTCCAAATGACCACCGTCGAACTAAACAGACTTGTGACTAAATATAAATCAAAGCATTTTATTATCTAGCATTGGAAGCTGCCATTTTACAATATGTCCTACATCAACTTACCATAGAGAAACTAATAAATTTGTAAGAGATGAGCATTTAGCAATATGCACCAGTCAATGGCCATATCTTTTTAGCTTTGATCTGTGTGGAGCGTTTGAAACTCAGAGTCAGATCACTCTTTGTCCCCGTTGTGAACTGAGCTGATCAGTGAACTGTTTCATCCCCAGAGAAGCTTCCTGTTATTTTTTTTTTTCCTTGTCTCACTGAAGGAAAAATGAAGGTCGGTGAGACTGATTAGATTAGCTTGCCATGTGGTTCACTTATTGATAATAGTTGAGCTCAATTCATTCAGGAAATCTGGCTTGAGGCAAGTAGGTCAATACAAATGTGTTTACATTTTAAGATATTGCTTGTTCTACTTTATCAGTGCAAGGTGGACTGATAGAAATGATATGACAAATATACTGCTCAAAAAAATAAAGGGAACATTTCACTTTAATTTTGTGTGTGGCTCCAAATTCCAGGCCTCCATTAATTAATAAATTTGATTTCCATTGATGATTTTTGTGTGATTTTGTTGTCAGCACATTCAACTTTGTACAGAACAAAGTATTCAATGAGAATATTTCATTCATTCAGATCTAGGATGTGTTATTTGAGTGTTCCCTTTATTTTTTGAGCAGTATATAATAAAGGTACAGTGATATACCTTGGTTATTTTCTTACTATTTATTATTTGCCAAAATGCATATGCAGAATCTGACAGAATAAGACTCTTATTGAAATGTTTTGTTATTTTAACCACTTATGTGCTACACATGCTTTGAATAATTTTTAGTATTGTCCATTGTTTTCTTGAACACGGGATTTCCTGTTTTTCTGTGGAATAGTGAGCTATTCTAGTTTTATTTTAGAGGAAGGCAAAATGATGAGAACAACTTTCAAATCAATGGATTCTGTGCATGTTGTGGAGTGTGAAGGTTAGGCTAAGGGGAAATTTTAATAACCCACTGACTCTAGATACATTCAGATATATTGGGATTTTTTTCATCTCCAGGGCTCAATTTTGTCATGAAGTTTTAAATCAATGTTTCATCCAGTTTACATTTCTCAAGTTGTTGATTCACTTTTGTGAAAAAATAAATAAACAAATAAATAAATAAATAAATAAATGCATGATTTTCTTTGAAAGCATTGTATATTTGGTCAAATAAGTGACATATTTGATAAGCAGGGGGACAAGTTTTTTAGTTAGTCCGCTAGATGCATTCTTCTACATCTTTGTGACGTCGTTTGAAGTATTTTTAGTATATTTGGTGAATAGATTCAGAAATTATGCTTTCTCTAGCAAAGTTTTGCCATTTTACTTGATCAATTTCTCTATTTCTCTGGTGACATACCAAACAACACCTTTAGCCCATAAAGATAATTTAATAGATAACTGTCAGGGCTGTTACTGGTATGATTACAGATGTTTGGACTGAAGGTAAGATTAGTATCTGATTAGCCACAGTAGTTTAAACTATTTTGTGTACTGATTAAACCATGAAATTGTTGGATGATGAAATAGCTACATAATGTGTTCAAATTTTGAGAAATGTCTGTCATTATTTATAAACTTTCATGTGAATACATTTGTCCATTTATTTATTTTTAATTTCATAGCACTTATACTTATCCTATAATACTTTAAGTAAATTGTATTGTGGCACTATAGCCTCATTATCCAGTAGTTTCGGTTATTAACATAACATTTCAAGTATGGTTGGACTGAAGGTAAGGTCAGTAATTCGTTTTATTTTTAATGGAAATAAAATCCGGGAGAAGATCAAATGAATGCGGTCTGCTAACTGTCGAGTGACTACGGGCAGATGGCACGCGCTCTTCAACTCAGACGCTCTCGGGCTTTGGTACCGCTGGATGTCGGTGAAACGTTTTATCAGGCTGGAGAAGAACATTATTTTACCGCAGTTCCTGCTGTACGTAAGAAATTGGAACAAAAATAATGTGTAGGCTTTCACAAACAAGATACGTAAGTACAACATTATTTCCTATATTCGAGCACTACGTACTAAGTTTACTAGAGCTCACGCGTAATAGTATGACTTACATTTATAAATAAGCGATAGTCGTGTGTTTAAAAGACCTAAGGCTGCATGTTGTTTGGTTTAATGGCAGTCTGACTAGAAAAGCTCCTGGAATTCAATGTGTGTCGGCTAATTTCTTTTTATTAATGTTGTACATTTTATAACCTTTTATTCTGTCTCCATAAGAAAAACTACTCGCGTTTTGAAAAAAAAAAAAAAACTTTAATATTGTAGTATTGGACTTAATCCTCTTTCATAACTTTTAGTCAGTGCTTTTGTTTGTTTTACTCAAGTTAGTTAGTTGCACGTGTAGTCACAGTAAAAGTGCACATATTGTGCAGCTGTTGTTTTATACTTTTATTTGTATTTTGTATGTGTTTATCTGTTAAATTTTTTTGGTAGTATTTTTGCCTGAGAGTTTACTATCCATTGTCTGTTCTTAACAGACTCTGTTATTTTAATTGATTAAAAAGTGTACCTAAGGATATCAGTAAAGGAATCTGAACTAACTGTACAGTTGCCTTAGTGCTATGAGTTTATATGGCATTTAAGATATTTTTAATCCTAATCCTAAATTTTTGTGGAGATAAAAATCTTGGATATCTCAAAGATTAGCAAAAGTATAGATTCAGTATTTTTTATAAAGTTCCACATAGTTCGTTACACGGTTAATGTGCTCCATTGAATTCTGCTAAAACATTATTTTTTCTTTCTTCTATTACCATACAAAATTATGTGTTCTATAATACCATAATTTAGGGCTGCACCATATTGGAAAATCATGTGATGGCAATAATATTGATAAATATGGAGATGACAATATCAGTTTCTTTCCTCTCAATCTGTGCTTCCTACTATATGTGACCTTTATTTTTGACTGGGGCTTAAAATCACTACCTGTGCCTGAGATAAACTACTTTATTAAAGCAATAGAGAACACCAATCAAAAATATGTGCAGTCACCCATAAATAGAACTTTGCTCTTAGGTTCGAACAAAGCCCTCCAAAGGAACGTAAGCTAGGTTGTGGCGACAACACCTTATTCCCATTGTGTGCTTAATAGGAAGAGGAGGACCAACCTAAAAACCCAGAAAACTGGTGTTTGTTGTTTCATACTATGAGTTTCCTGTTTTCCATAGCTCAGTAGAAAGAAAACCCCTGTTCAATGTCTTTGCCCATTTGAGATTGGAGTCTTTGTGAATGGTTCTGTTTTTTTTTTTTTTTTTTTTTTTTTTTTTTTTGGGTTTTTTTGTAGCAATTACATTTTTGATCTGTGATTTATAGATGTGAACGATGGTTGAGTGAGACGGTCATGTGGTGTGGAAGTAAGAAGAGAAACAGACATCGGAATGCCACAGGCTGTCTCGCTGCTGCCCTTCCTTCTTGTGCTCATAGGATATGGTGAGTGTCGCAAAGACTTTCATCTTGATTACAGTGTGTGTTTGAAAATGCAGTGGGGTTTTTTGTATAAAATACAAAGGATACAAAGCTTCTAAATACCATAGTACAAGTATTCAGTCCACTAAGTCTATCATTCAATAAGATAAAAAGAAAAAGTTGAGCTTAACAAAAAAGTTTCTGATGATAACTTGAATGAAGAGGCAGCTTCTGCCTGTTCCGTCTTTATTTTGTTGAAAGTTACTATGTGAGAATGTGGTTAGAGAAACAATGTGGGACATACAGTCATTAAATAATCAAAAAAGGGATGTAATGTCTATCTTAAAAATGTAGATGCCCACAAAAGGCTACAAAAATTATAGAGTTCTGTTTATTTATTTTTTATGAAACTTTCTAACATTTGCTAGCTTGGATTGATTGGATATAGGTTTGCTATTTGCATGTATTTGTAGATGTAAAAGTTAATGGCATAATCCAACTTTTCCCTTATTAATTGCTCTTTGTAAGCAATCACCATCAATGTGCAAGTACCTCTAGCAGTGTAATCAAACTTCAGAATGATGCTCCTACTGATTCTAAATATCTTTTTCTTTGCTCTTTTTCTCTTTTTCAGCTTTTGCAGGGCTCAGTATTTGGCCCTCTTTCCATGTGGCCCTTAGCAATGGGAGTGTATTTGTGGACTTTAGCGCAAAATCAAATAACAACACCATCACCAACATGAGCCTCTCTCTAGTCAACATGGAAACCAATACTTCAGTTCTTTCACGGATCCTCCCCAGCAACCAACTGGTTGGCAGGGAGGAGTTTGATTGTTCCTGCTTCCTGTACGCAGGAACTTTCCGGTTCCTGCTGAGGCAGACAAGCATCACCACTGTTTTTCATGCTAACAGAACAGATGTCAGCAGCACAGAAAGCTCAGCCTCCTGGTGGAGCTCTGAACTGCAAGTGCAGTGGCCCACTTTTCACATTTCTGTGGAGAAAGCAGGAAACCACTCTGAATATTTTCAGGTAAAACAAACTGAAATTTAATTTATCAAGCTATTTTTTTTTTGCCTATTTACTGTTGTACAATCAGAAAAAAAAAATAATTTGCATACCTCTCTTTTGTTGGTTATTCACAGGTTGTGTTATCCACTAATGAACACTTTCAGGCTTGCTCCAGAGGCACTGACTCTGCCCTCTTCTTAGAAGTGAGTTATATGGAGTACAACCAGATCGGACGAAGTACCATTGACAAAGTTCGAG